GCTCCATTGCAACTTGGATTTGATTCTATTTAACGCTAAGTATTGCAGTAAACAGAAATTACATATTTAAGGCCTACCAAAGTCCTATGTAACAGTTTACTATTGCTGGCTACAATAGTGTATTTCTAGTCATTAATTTATTTACATTCATTGTTTTGCATTTTTTAAATGTTCCAATGTAAATCTATTTCAGAAAGGAATGAAGAGAATTTTTGTGCTTGAACGTTTAGTTTGGAAGAAGTTTTGTGCCACCCTTATACAACAAATTTCAAATGCCTTTCCTGAAATATTTATAATTCACTGTTACTTTTTGAAATACCCTGGTAAATATTGATAGCTAGATAACAATGCAAAATCTTCAGTCACCTTCATTGCTGTTAATACTTGAGGTACATACTAATTTCATTTATGTGTATTTAATAGTCTGATTTGCTTAAACAATTTTTTATTTTTATTTTTTCAATTTCAAGCAATATCTTACAAACAAGATCGCACTAAATTGTTTCCTTCAAAAACAATTTTTCAAATTAATTTTGTTACAAAATTTTTTTATTGTTGTTAAAACAGTTACATTTGCTGTATTTAAAAATAAACTCAATATTTTTCTAGACGAGTATAAAGTCAGAGCCTACTTCCATGACAAGGTTCCGTGAATGGATAATACATACCTTTGTTTTCTAGAAAAATCATGCGCGGTGTGGGCCGATGCAAACAAAGAGAGAGACAGAAAGGACAAAAATTATTTACAATAAAATATTGTCACTGATTCTTGGCAAGTTGTTATCCTATGCATGCACTTTGACAACGATTAGGATATTGAACGGAAAACATTAAGTACACTTAGGTAGTCAATTTTGAAGGGCATATTGATTGTATTATTCAGGGTTTATTCAGACATTTGTGGTTTTTAGTAGTAGGTATATTCTGTTTTGTTTACATATATACATTTGGTGTTTGTGTTTTTTTATTCTTCGTCACAGTGAAAAATTAGGATATTGAAAAGATAACCATGAAATAATTACATATTAGTTTTAATAAAATTATGATTATCTTCTGTGTGAAATTATTTACTTATAGTAAGTATACTTACTAAAATTGCTCTTTGTTAAAACTAAAATTCTTGTTATCAGTAAATCCACATTGATAATAACTGATAAAAATTTATTCTATCACTCTGCACATGCCTCCAATGCTGCAAATAACTCCCCATGTAGTATGTTGCAAAAATTTTATAATTTGTTTTTTAATCACATCGACATTTTGAGCCTCTCTTTCAACTCGGTTAGACGCCAAGCCTTGCTTGGTTTTTAATTGAATGTTTTTTCTCTTCTCTTTTTTCTTGTTGTACTTTGTTTTTTGTTTGTTTTTCTTTCCTTTTTTTTACCCTTAATCATATTATGTTAAAACTAGGTAATTACTTATTAATATTGATTGTTTGTTTATTGTATTACTATGTATATTGTAACTTGTTATTCTTATTTAATTTGAGTTTTGTACACGCACTGCTCTTATTATATTATTATCTATAGTGCACCCTGTAACTTGTATTGTTTATCAATATGTTGTTGCCAAATCTGTAAATAAATAAATAAATAAATATGGCTGAGGGGTTTGTTTATTTTTTTATTCTTTTACCACAAATGCCAGAATATTTTAACATACTTTAAAATTTTCAAATACGAAACGAAACGAAAAATTATCACCAGAGAAATTTAAATCAAGGGGCTATATTTTGTATGTATATAAAGGATGGCCCAAAATTCGCGTAAGAAGTAATTTTGATAAAAACACAGGTTTTTCATTAAAAACTTGTACATTTTTTATAAATTCATAAAATATATAGTCTAGGGTTATGTATGGAATAGCATGTCGGGTAAATGGCATAAACCTTAGACTTCAAAAAACCCCAAAGAAAAAAGTCGAACGCATCTGGGAACTTACACTAGAACCGTTTTAAGATTGCCATTACGTCACGAGTGTGTCCTAATATCAAAGACAGTCGTTGCATCGAATTCATTATCTGTTAAACGCGTCAAAAAGAGATACAATGATGGAATAAATGTCTTCATAGTCTCAATCTATCACAGACAGTCGTTCCAATATTTTATGTGTATTAGAGTGAAAGAAAATGATGGACGTTTTTTGGGTATTAGTTTTACAAAATAGAGCTGACACTCGGACTAAAAATTTGACAGCTCATTTGATCGCGTCTGCGTACTAACTGTTGTATATATTTTCTGAACGTTGAAACATCAATTTCTTGGCATATTCTTGTATCCAGTAATACCAGTATTAAAATAAGGGAAATATCCAGATTTGGGAATTGTCAAGATGACATTTCAATTATATGAAAACAGTGACTAATTTGACTAGGGCTTTTCGTCTTAGTTCATACCAGTATTGCTTGTGACGCAATGGAAAAGACACATCGGCTTTAATGTAATTCTGATCACCAAAACGGGAAATTACACGACCAGGAAATGCAGTAATTGTATTGTTTATCAGGCTGTACAGTATGCGGCACCGTCTTGCTCAAAACACATTTGGTATCGTGGATTTTCTGAACCTCAAATGCTACAATTTTGCCGATTAACGAAGCCATCAAGATGAAAAAGAGCCTCCTCGCTGAAGATGATTTGTTCGAAAAATCGGCATCCACTTGTTGTTCCATAATCCATTCAAGGAATTAGCTTCGCTCTGCGGGGTCAGTAGGCTTAAGTTCTTGAGTCAATTGAACTTTTAAAACATGAAGATGCAAATCTTTCGTGAGCATACACTGTAGTACACACACTTCTTGAAATGTCCAATTATTGTCCAAGGTACCGAATTGATGTTCCTGGACTCTCAGCAGCACACTCACGAACTGCTTCTATGTTTTGTGTTCAACGACTTGTTGAGGAACGGCCAGTGTAGTTAAGATGATTAATTGATCCAGTCTTCCTGAATTTTTCAGTTAATCTCTTTAGAGTTGATGAAGTTAAATCAATATTCCGACCATATGTTGTACGAAAATTGTGAAATGTGGCTGCCAAACCTTAATTATTTTTAAACTATTGCTCAACAATTAAAACGCGTCGTTCTTTCGTGTAGCGCTCCATTTTTAAAAACCCTGAACTGTCACGCTGCCTTTTTATTTCGTTGGCAACACTTTACCGGAGAAATGGCGCAAATTCAAATCTTGTCCGAACTTTGGGACACCCGATATATTGCTCTCCGTATTTAAATTTATATATAACAAAACCTGTAACCTATACTTAGTTAAACATAATTCTCTGGTCATAAATTGCTCAACATTATGATTATGTAAATAATAATATTCAATTTATGATTGATAAAATATAAATTGGGAATCTATTATGCACGCATTGTACTGTCGTTATTATTTATGTGTATCTGATTTAATTCACTTTCAGAATATTTTATTGTATTACTTTGTTGTAATACATTACCATTAATTACGCATTTAATCATGTATATATAATGCATTCCCTATATTTTAAAATACAAAATAATTTTAAATGTTCCCTTTAATCTTTTAATTGAAAGCGTTTTGTTGATAATGTAAACAAAACGAATTACACTACTTTGATTCGTCACTAATAATAAATTATAAAACAAATACAAAAATTACAATACTCATATAAACTAGCTTTATTTGTACCTGAACTTGTAGCTGTACTATGTATTAGGTACATCAATATGCCCTTTTTTACTTTGTACAACGATTTCTGTTATATTTAATGGAATTCTAAAGGTGGTTAAACACAAAACAACTCCTCTATTTGGTATGGTAATAGTTTCCTACAGGTGGTGCAATTTTTTGAGCCGTTAACCTATTGTTGCTTTTTAAATAAGTTACCAAATTTGTTGTCAAAACCAAGTAGGAATGAGTACATTTTTAAATAATTTTTATAGGAATGCCGTTTTGTAAAACATATGTATTAATATATTAAAATCTAATAATTTATCACATTGTACATGACTTTTCTAAATAATTTAAAATACGATAGAGGCTTATGAAAACATATTCAGTTTTTCAAAAAGATTTATTTCCTCATATCCAATTTTTATACTTCAGTAGCTGGCATTTTCCTGACCGAATGTAAAAATATCCACGGAACTATTTTCTTTTTTTTCCGATTTTCTCTATGTATTTTCTGTAATCTTCCTTCAACACTGAAGAAAAGACATCTATGGGGAATTTAACTTTGAAATTTTAAGAGAAAAATGAACTTTCATTCGTAAAACAAAGAGAATAAATCTACTAGAGCGATCAAGTTCTCATTTGTCCAAAAAATGCCATCCAATGAGAAAAAAACGATAAAAATATGAGAAGAAATTTTGTATGAGACTAAATTGGCTCAAAATTGCATCATTTTCGTATGTATTCATATAAACTCTCCATCTTTAAAGGATCTGAGGAATTATTCCTTCAATAATTACCAGAAAACACCCTGCAGAATTGTAAACGAAATTTCGAGGACACTATTCTATATTAACTTGGCATTTTAACTATCAACTTCGCAGTTGTAATCATTATTATATAGAAAACTATTAAAAGTATTTTGTTATAAATATCTGTGTAGAAACGTGGCATGAGAAGATATCCTGATTACCTGAAGAACATTAAAATATTTTTATCAGTCTGTGTTTATATTACACTTTAAAAATAGTTGACGACAGCATCTGTATTACTGTCAGTTATGAAAATAAGTAAAAAAATGTAGTTATTTATTTAATATATGAACTATATTAAATTACCAGATTTATAGTTTATTGAAGATAAATTTATCCCCCAAATTTCGTTGAAATAAATTAAATAGCTTCGTCTAAACAAAAACAAATATAAGTAAATATTCCTTATGCTACAAATTAAAATACACTTTCGACAGTTATGGACAAAAACACAATACAAAGTGAGTGAACATTTTATCAGAAACCAATCAGTGATAAAGTAAAACGATATGTCGTGTATGTAACGGCTTTCAAGAAATACTCACTGTTCTTTTTGTACAAGAGGATCTCGAACTGATCGTACAGCTGGTGCTCTAGGACATGGTCCACCCTACTTATTGTCTCCTTATCGGTGAGCTCCCCAAACATAAAGGCACATCTGCAGGATTTCTGCATGACCTCAGCGCGGTTGTAGCCCGAGATCTTGCAGAAAGACTCGTTGCAATACACGATCGGGTAGTCCACGATTTGTGCGTTCGCCAGCAGGAAACTGCTGTCCGCTAAAAAGAAAATCGAATGTTAATACCAAAGAGAGTAAAAAAAAGAATGGCTATTTCTTGTGAATAAAGCTGAGAGCTTAAAATCGATATTTTGTTATAACTTTTATTTTTTATTAGAAGCTATTTCTACCAATGTATTCAATTTGCTGATAGCTACTTTGACAATCCAGGAGCAAAACAGCAAATGTATATGACTACATTTTTTAATTTCATCTTCGTTTTAAAGATTTTTGTGTTTTTTGAATGAAAGAGATATGTTTGATATCGAAGTAACGAACCATTGTCAAGATGAAAGTATTTAACGATGTAGATACATCGAAAAAAAGTTGAGTAAATTTTCACTCAAAACCAACACAATATTTTGTTTAAACTACTCCACACTCTTTGTACAAATCTTTTTATCCCGCTACTCAGAAATGCGTAATATTAACAAAGGAATGGAGTTATTTTTGCATAGTATGTTCTCATTCTAACAAGTTTTGCTTCTTGAAACTAAATATTGTTTTCATAAGCATCATAAGTTCACTCAAAATTCTACACCAAAATAATTTCCCTCATAAACAACTTTGAACTTGCACTATGTTATTTTGTACTGTGTAGTTTCTGACATTCTTCTGAAGAACAGAGCGATGTGTCTCTCGAAGCGTCGAGAAGAGAAGTCTAGGCCGACGACTTAGCAACTGCCACAAGTTGTAAGTATTGGTCAATATTATAGAAATTATGAATATCGGAGATAATTAATAACAAACTTTAACAAATACAATAATAAATATTTAAATTTATACTACAATTCATATGGGCAAAGTGTTAGGAAATTTTCTAGCGATCTCAAATATAAGTGTATGGAAAAACATTTGAATGTTGCAATTCTGTGAACCAACCTTCTGTTTCTTTTTTTAGAAATTGTAAATTTGAAATTTAACAAGGGGAAATATACCTACTCACTGGTTCCGTGACAATCTTGAGTATGTGCAGGATCAGTAGTAAACCAAAATATTGTTCAAATTGTCAAAGCAAATATATGATAGTGTCGTAGAACATAAGGCGAGCGAATTTCAAAATTCACCGATATATAGAAGTTAGCTATCAAAACACTCGAAACCCCTTTTTCTCATACGAATTTATCAAAGGCAAACTGCAATAACACGCCTAAGCATCTCTGCAAGCTGTAAAAGAATGTTGGACGAACTTTCTAAAATTCACGGATATATCGAAATTCTACTCGAAGCTCCCCAGACGCTACGTACGGTCTTCTGCCAAGCCACAAGCCGTTCAATGCAACGTCTGAAGACACCCAGACGACCGTCGCAGCATCCAAATGTCACTAGATACAAAATCACCGATCTTTCCGATAAATTCACCGACCTTTCCAAATTTATACCGTTGAACCACCAGGACGACATCGAGCAGGCGTAGCCACCCCCGTGTCATCGGACGATGACCACTCCTATGCCAAAATCTCCCTGAGACCGCTGACGAGATACGAAGGAAATAAAAAATTTCACCCCACTTTTAAAATTTTCAAGTGGATGAATCGACACCAAAAGCCGTCTCCCGAAATGAGGTGTCACTGAATCAAACCTTGCAGCATATACCTACATAGCATTATGTTCTATCAAGCAGCACACAAATAAACAATATATTTACCTTATTCTTGAGTTATTATTTCTCTACAAAAAATACCCAAACCTCGAGCTCTAACGCTCTCAGCTCTACGCTGAGCAAACAACTTCAGTACCGGGGATTCTAAGGAGTCCGTACACAGTGAATAAATTATAGTGAACTAAAGACAGTGATTTTCAGATACTACGGTATCAGATCCGTACCAAGTGCACCTAGGATGACTAAAATGCCCGAACCACGTTTCGAAGTGTCCTAAATAGGAAACGAAACTTAGTGAAGCACTCCCACGGCCGTTTAAATCGCAACACATCTCAACAAATAGATCGTGGAATTTCCACTTGAGCTCGAACTCAGAACGATGGCGGATGATCAGAGATATCACTTTCCCTCTATGATAGCCGCAGGGCCGTACTTAAAGAGGGAGAGGAACTAGATGCCAGGGAACCCCCAAATAGACGTCCAACGCATTGGCACCGGAGGAGAAGAGAAACCCTGGACACTACGATCCTTCCCGTCCCATCATACGGGTCTACGACCCGTTGATGATGCTCAAAGGAGAGCCTAGTAGGTCTCAACAGCCATAACCGACCAAGGGCGAGCCGCATCCGCATCGTGGCGCCCAACGTGGGACCACCACCGGGGATAGACAACCGATTTATCTCGTAGTCCAACCAGGCGACCAACCGGAGGCCTGGTTAATCCTGGAAGATGTCCATAGTATTCTCCAACACGGGGCTATAGGTATGTTCCAACCAGCGTTATAAACAGTTTCTTAAGCAGTCAGGATTCTGCACAGTAACTTAAATGCGTTCCAACCAGAGGTGGTAACGATTAGTAAACGATCAGTTTTCTCTTCCATCTAAGAATCAAACCTGTTTGAAAACTTTCAGAACGATTTGCGGATTATCTTCAAACCATTGATCTGGCGCATGCGTATTGCTGTTATTCTGTTATTATTTAATATTTATTGCAACATAATCTATCCTATAACCCGCCAAAGTGCCAAACTATTACAGATTTTAACACAAAACTGGAAATATGATTATTTACCTCTAAAGTGCAGATATGAATATGCAATACCAGTTTTTAAATATTAAGGTATTGGTCTATTTACATAGGTCTATACTTTACACTAATGTTAGTAAGGTTGGTAATCTGTTTGTGATTCAAGGTTAGAACAAACCTTATGTTGGCGAACAAAAATGAGACTAGAGAAAATCCGCGACAATAGGTTATAATATGAAAAAATAGAGGAATCCAAAAAACGACAAATATACACGGTGAGTACATAAAAAAATAAAAGTTTGGTGTATATCTACTAAATCTATAACGTAAAATTTGAAAATAATTTGTGAATTTTTACTTTAATTTTACATTTAAATCGTAATTAAATATCTAACAAAATATTGAAAAAACAAGTTTACTTTGCCTTAATATGTAAAAAAAATAACTTTAAATGAACGATAGCTTGATTTATTTATTTAATAATAGTAAAATAATTCCGAAATTGAAATTTTAATTAATATTTCGTTTAACAATAATTTTTGTGACATTTTTTTAAATGAAAAAAGACTTAATTATAAAAGATGCATTTTTTCTGGGGCTCAGGGCTATTCTACGAATTCGTAAATATGCCCATTGTTATTTTTTCGTCGAGCTACCCCAGTCTAAAAAAAAAATTATAAGTCTCTACGATGAATCGAAGCCGAGATATTGCAAAATTTACAGCGCGCATCAATTTGAACGCGCGACCGCTTGGACGAGCTTCCCCCACCACCACGCTACCGGCCGCCGGACAGTTTACTTAGCGAATACCTTCTCTTTAAAGGGCTCGTGAGTCGTTAATTTTCCACATTTTTCATTGCAATTCACGGGAAATCGTAGTTTACGTCGTAACTGTATTTTGCGAAAAATTCAAGTCTTAATATTTATAAACAATTGCGCTACGATTTTTTTTTTAATTCTTATCATGGCTCTTGTTGGTTGTAGACGATACTTTTTTAATTTAGAACTGTATTTTTTTGCCACCTATCCATTGCATATATTTTCGGTGAGATAGCATAAATAGCAACAATGTTATTCAAATTGTTTATAAGCGAAAAACGCACGATTTTTTAATGCACAATTTGAGAATGTTAATGTCAAAAAATGGTGATATTTTTTAATAGGTTGCTTAATTACGTCTTTAAGATTACAATGACGCTTTCAGAATCATGTTTGGTTGAAAATTAACGCCTGTACAGGGGCTTAAAGTTCATAACTTTTGGAGCCTCCGTTATAAACAAATAGAATTGTGCGAAAACTATTGCACCTACAGCGCCCACTTTTGGCACTCTTTTGAAGTATGACAAAACCTTTAAAGTGAAAAAACTGTTTTCCTCACTTATTTGTTTAAATAGAAAAGTTAGCTAATAAAATTTTTTGACTCACAAGATGAGAGATGTCTTGTATTATGTTCCTTTAGACAATTTTACAATAATCTCGCGGATAGGACTTTTTCGAGTTTCTCTTTTATTTTCGCTGAGATTTTTTGAAATTACAAATTTTACTAAATCTTTGGCTGTTACTACAATGTTTGGCTAGATAGAAAGGCAAGAAAGATAAAGGGGAGTAGATTATTATGTGAACGATATTGTACACAGTGTTATTTTAAATTCCACACTCCATCTGCAGTTATTATTTTTTTAAATCCTATATTGTTCTTTTTAATTGAATACCATGTACATTTTTAGATTCATATTTGGATACACAGATGTTTATATCTCAGGGAAATAATTTTTGGTATTTTTTATAGTAAGGGAGATCGATCGATCAGATTGATATCTTCCTTGCTATTAAAGGCATCCGTCAATTTATATCACTATAATCTTAAGAAAATATCATATTTTCTAAAGTGTTTCAATAAAAAAAATAAAGGCGTTTATTTTGACACTTTTGTGACGTTCATTTGCTTGATTTGATACAAAATTCTGCCGCTTCAGGAAAAATTCTAAACTATTTCATTCAACATTTTTTCCTTTTCCAAAGATAACAGATGTGAATGGACTGCAAAATATTGGAAAACGCACTGAGATGCACAGTGTATATTAAATATATTATTTTAAATTTTTCTGTGCTAATATCTTTAAGTTTATATGCATTTTGGACCGTAAGAATCTAGGAGGCGTGATCGGATTCCTCAGATCTTAGACATTAGGATTTTATCACTGTTATTTATCATTTTATTACATTATTTATTATCCGTCCCTTTTCAACGAGTTTTTAGAATTGAAAGTACTGATTCCGCTA